TTATTTATTTTGCAGTACTGGGGTTTGAAGTCAGTTCCTACACCTTGAGCCACCACACCAGTCCTTTTTTGTGATGGGTTTTTTTTCAAGATAGGGTCTTACGAACTGTTTGCCCAGGCTGGCTTTGAACTGCAGTCCTCATGATCTCTTGTTTCCTGAGTTGCTAGGATTATAGTTACGAGCCACTGGTGCCCAGCTTGAAGTTAATATTCTTTAGTTACTTAAAAATAACAATCCAGTTTTACAACAGTCATTCTTAGTGTTCTGCAGTGTGCCTGCTTCTTTGATTAGTATTTTCTCATTTTGATAAATATAAAACATGATTAAATTTCAGAATCGTGAACCTCTGATGCCATCTCCACAGTTTATCAAATCTTACTTCAGTTCTTTCACTGATGATATAATTTCTCAGCCCATGCTTAAAGGAGAGAAGTCTGATGAAGATAAAGACAAGGAAGGGGAAGCCTTAGAAGTAAAAGAAAAGTATGTATGCCAAGCATGTTATGCACTGAATGTTGGCATTTGTTTTTGTTGGGATTGTTTGTTTTTGGCTATCCTGGAGCCTAAGTGAATTTAGAGTCACTTCCCGCCCACCCCCCCCCAAAAAAAAAGGATGTGCAGATATTAAAAAATATATAACAATATTGTTATTATAATTAATGGATACCTTTCTTTCTAGCATGTGTCTGTTATTTTGGTGACTCAAGCTTACTGCCAGGAGTCTGCTGGTATTGCAGCCCTACATGATATCCTCAAAAGGGTTGCCACTGTGTCAAGTGGTTTACCGTATTTGAATAGAGGCACTAACTTTAATTATTGTGTAACTCAACATCCATATGTTTTAGTATGGGGAATTTTTCAATATGTATTCTGTGGGGTGCTTAGGAATGCTATAAATTCCTACAAGTTCTTTTTTTTTTTTTTTTTTTTTTGTGGTACTGGGCTTGAACTCAGGGCCTTCACTTTGAGTCACTCCACCAGCCCTATTTTTGTGAAGGGTTTTTCGAGATAAGAGTCTTGTGAACTAGTTCCCCAGGTTGGCTTTGAACTTCCAGTCTCCTAATCTCTGCTTCTTGAGTAGCTAGGATTACAGACGTGAGCTACCGGTGCCCAGCCTTCAGCTTCTTTTCTGCTTGTCTAAGGAAAGTACTATTCCTTTGACTTGTGTTTGATGCTACAGAAAGCTGAACATGGCGTAGGATGCGATGTTTAAAGTTGAAGATCTAGTGATGTAATATATACACAATGTAGCCTGCATATCTATTCAGATTTATCAGTACTTGTGTTTTACAGTTAAGTAAATTCTGTAAGAGAAGGTACAATATTTGGTATTGGTATATTGTGGTATATATTCAGATTGTTTTTGATCTTTGTCTTCCAATTTTTTTTTTTTACCATTATTGGCCATCTTTTGAATTAAGACACCATGCCTAATGTACCAAGATGTATAAATGCTACTCGATATATGATCTTTCAGAAATTTGTAGTTGGAAAATAAATGTTTGAGATGTCATATAGCTCTGATGACAGTGGTGCACATAATTTCTTCTTCTGGTTATTAAATAGTCCTTGTCCCACAAAAACAACAGCGAAGATAATATAATTATTCTAAGAGTTATAACATAGTTAGCTCTCATCAGAACACTAGCTGGACTTGTCCCCAAGTTTTTTAATTCCATTTCACTTTGAGCCTTAGCTTCATCATCATTTAAATGAAGCTAATCATATTTATGTCTCAGGGTTATTTTGAGGTGTACAGATCATGTTTCTAAGTACCTAACACTTATGTTCTTAGTAAGTAGGAATTTTTTACTTTGATATAATGATTATTTCTGTTTTCTTAGCCTGATGATCTTAGGAACAAAATAGGGAATATTAGAAAGAATTATATGAAAGGCTACTGGAGATTTGTAAGATTTTGATTGACATACTTTTAAGTCACTTGCCAGTTTTCTCTATATGGAATGTAACAACCAAAATGAGAAATTGTACTTTAACTTACTATGCCTTTCAACAGATGCTCCCTTACTTATGATGGGTTGCATCCTGATAAACACATAATAAGTTGAAAATACCGTACAAGTCAAAAATGCATTTACTATGCCTAACCAACTGTGCATTATATTTTAGTAACATGGAATGCTGTAAAGTAGTCATTTTTTATCCTCGTGATCCTTTGGGTGACTGGGAACTGTGGCTCACTGCCACTGCCTAGCATCACATGAGAGTGTTATACCATGCATCACTAGAAATTACTTAACTCAGATATGCCATATGTGGCAAGTTTTAGCATTTGGTCCTTTCTTAATAAATAATTTCCTATTTTTATTTTCATCTCCAGTTCTGGATATTTAAAGGCCAAACAGTACATGGAAGAAGAAAATTATGATAAAATCATAACTGAGTGCTCAAAAGAAATAGATGCTCAAGGCAAATACATGGCAGAAGCATTATTATTACGAGCCACTTTCTACCTGCTTATTGGCAATGCCAATGCGGCCAAGCCTGATTTAGATAAGGTCATCAGTTTGAAAGAAGCTAATGTGAAGGTACATTTTGAAATGTGTGTGCATGTGGAAAAACTTAAATGGAAATGATGCTTTTATAAATGTTTTGTCAGATATTTTAGCATTGCACTTGCCATTCTCCAAAAGGTTATTTTTGTTTTGTTAATGATGAGTGAGTTGGTATAGTAAATATGAAATATAAATATTGTTAATATTTGTCTTTAGCTAGGAAAGTAAAATTTTTTTTCTACAGGCTCTGGTAGTTTCAACTTCCTCTTGTAACCTCTGCCTACTATATTAAACTGTATTTGAGTAGTGTTACAGATAATGGAGCAATGCTATTGAAAATGTAAATAGCATGCAATACAAAGCATCAGGTTATGAAGGCTAAGTATTTGTTAAAAGTTCTCTCCTCCATCCTCTTGCCCATTGTTTTGGTATTGGGCTTTTAACTAGGGCTTGAGCTTGCCAGGCAGGCACTGTACCAGTTGAGCCATGCCCCCAGCTCAAAAGTCCCTTTCAAAAATTTGATTTTAAAATTGAAGATATCCTCATAACATTATCTTTATTTTTCACTGATTTTCCTGATGGCTACAAGTATTCTGTTGTTACTTGGTTGACATATATACGTAGAGCTGCTTTGAAGAAGAAACGTATTTGTTTTCATGATCATGACTGTTAGTTTTAACAGCAAGATGTCTACCGTATCTATGTATAAAAATTTACCCAACATGTAGCCTAAATATAGAAGCTAAATTATAGAACTCTTAGAAGAAAATAGAGTAGTAAATGTTCATTACCATGTATTAAGCAGGGGTTCCTGAGATATGACACCAAGTGCAGATAAATTTGATTTTATCAAAGTTAAAATTTTTTATGCTCGAAAGAATACCATCAAGAAAGAGAAAGCACTTTCCACAGAATGACAGAAAATATTCAAAGATCGTTTATCTGATAAAGGGCTTGTAATCCAGTCTTAGAACTCAATAGAAAGACAACTTAGTTTAAAAAGGCAAAGTATTTGGACATTGTTCAAAGAATGTATACAAATAACCAGTAATAACATAAAACACACTCGACATCATTACCTATTAGGAAAATGTAAATCAAACCACAATGAGATATCACGTCACACCTACTAGGATAGCCATAATTTTAAAAATAGTATACAAGGCTATAAGTCAAAAAAATGGACAGTAACAAGTGTCGGTGAGGATGTGGAATAATTAGAATTATCCTGCATTGCTGGTACAAATGTAAAATGGGAAAGCCTCTTTGGAAATTAGTTTGGTAGTTCCTTTTTCCTCAGAAAGTTAAACATACAGTTACCATATAATGTAGTAGGTTCGCTCTTAGGGTATATACCCAAGAGAACTGAATACAAGTGTCAGCACAAAAATTTGTACATGAATGATTATAGCAGTACCGTTCATGATAGTCAAAAGTTTAGAAGCAACTCAAATGCCCTTCAGCTGATGAGTGGCTAAATAAAATGTGGCGTGTCTATCACTAAAATACTATTCTGCAACAAAAAAGTTCTAAAACATGCTACAACATAGGTCAGACTTGCACACAATGTACTAAATGAAATAAGCCAGACAAAAAGGCCATATGATACTTAAAACACCAGTGATATACAAATCCATAGAAATGAACAAGATTGCTGGTTTTCAGGAGCTGAAGATTAGGGAGTAATGACTAATATGTATAGGATACTTAAGGGGATGGTAAAAATGTTCTGGAATTAGTGGTCATCAGTGTACAACTTAGTTAATGTACTAAAAACAACTGTTATGTACACTTTAAGAGTAAGCATTAGAATATGCAAATTGCACCAATTTATTTTAAAAAATACCTAATTGTAAAAAAGAAGTAGTGATGAACCTTTTCTCATTTTGGCTATGTAGCTTCGAGCAAATGCCCTCATCAAAAGAGGCAGCATGTACATGCAACAGCAGCAGCCTTTGCTGTCTACTCAAGATTTTAACATGGCTGCTGACATTGATCCTCAGAATGCAGATGTTTATCACCACCGAGGACAGGTGAATCTATTTTCTTACCTTGAGTTCTGACCTATGACTTGATCTATTTAATAACCATTTTGAACATTTTGTATCACTTCTGGTAGCTGTGAACAAGAGTATTTTAGTGGTTTACGGTTTGTATTACTCTTCAGTTTCGTTTTGAATATTTGCTCGTAATTTTGGCATTTACTTATGAAAAAAAGAAAAGGAAGGCAAAAAAAAAAAAGTTGACTTGCCAGTTCAATTAGTTTTTCAGGTGTTCTCAGTCCGTAGCTTTTCAGTGAGTAAAATATTAACATTTAGCAAGCATTTTGAGTTAATGCTAGAATCAACAGGAGGAGTTTTATGGGCTTTTTACTATAAGGAATTAATAGCTGAAACTCTAAATAGCATCCCAAAAAGAATGTCCTCTGGAGTTTTATAATAGGCATATTCATTTTTTAGTAAAAAATACATCATGAAGAAAACAGTTCCAGTTGTAGCATCACATGGAAATAACATGACTTTATAATTTTCTTAACATTGGATAAATGGACACCGGTTTTAAGTTTTAGAATCTTAAAAAAAAATCACAAGATTTTCTCTGTTTCTACAAAGAAATTTTACATTGAATGATTACTATGTTGAGTATTGACTGTGATAATGAAAAGAGACGTGGTATGGACTTAATTGGCAAACCTTTATTTTCGAATTGCATTTACTTAAGTGATTTTTTTCCTTAGCTCAAAATACTGCTTGATCAAGTTGAAGAAGCAGTGGCAGATTTTGATGAATGTATTAGATTAAGACCTGAGTCTGCTCTGGCCCAAGCTCAGAAATGTTTTGCGTTGGTGAGTACTAGTTTGTGTGTTTTGTTTTGTTTTTTGTAATTCCGGAACATTTTTATTGATAGATGTTAATGGATATGTAATTCTGTATTTCTCTGTTTTGAGTTCATCTTACATTTTACTATCTTTACTATTTTGTTTTTTTTTTTTTTGAGACAGGGTCTTGCTATCTAGTCCAGGCTGGCCATCAACTCATGGTGATTCTCCTGCCTCAGCCTCCTAGAAACTGGGATTGTAGGCATGGACACCTATGCCCAGCTCTGAGTTCATCTTGATAATTGTTTGTCCCTGAGGTTATGCCCCTCTAAACAGAACTAGTCTTCCTGTTTCATTAGAGTAAATCAGTACAAAGGATTGAAAAGCATTTTGAGGACAAAGTTTGTAATCATGACACTATGTAACTACTCTCATCACTACTGTATTCAGCTTTTCCTCAGTATTCAGAAACAGAAACCTGTGAAAAGGTGAAAATTAGTCAAATTCTATAATTAAGTATTCTCACTTGATACACTCCTATCTCTGAAAGGAATTTTTATTACAGAATAAAAATGATTTTAAAATGTATTAAAAATTCTGGGCTGAGGGTTATAGTTTAGTAGTAGAGTGCTTGTCTAGGATACATGAAGCCCTGGTTTGTTTCCAACCACACACACAAAAAATTGTCCCATTATAGCAAAGTTACCTTCTTATGAGTCAGTATGCTTTCTTACAGAGTATTGAGTACCTTAAAATTATGTAGTGACTGTGAAGTCCTTGTTTACATAGTCTTTGGATTCCTGCTGCTGAGGTGGAGCCCTTTTGAATGCAGCAAATTATATTAGTAAATTACCTAGTTTTCTGGAAAAGTTTGTGTAATTGTGTGTCTTTTATAATATGTTAATATTCCAGGGGTTTTTGAGTTCTTCATTTGACACACTTTATTTTATTTTGTAAATAGTATCGTCAGGCATACACAGGAAATAATTCTTCACAAATCCAAGCAGCTATGAAAGGTTTTGAAGAGGTCATAAAGAAATTTCCAAAGTGTGCTGAAGGATATGCATTGTATGCCCAGGTAAATGTGATATTTAAAAGAATAATAATAGTAATTTTTTAGAGAATTGTATTTGTATGCTGAATCTCAGTATGAAAATGTGGTACCCTGGTTGCACCTTCTACTGAAGCAGGTGACTTTGTTCCAGCTTTAGCTCTCAGGGTTCCCAGCATGGTCCGAGAGGCTTTTATTGCATAATTTGGGAAACATACCCCCAAATTCATGACTGGGAAAGCATAAGGCAAGCATTTCTTTCATATTTTCATTTGGATTAAATTTGCAAAAAGTAATAACTTTGGAAAATTTACTCTGCATTTAATTGGTGGGGAAAGTATCCATGGAGAGAATTTTCTTTCTGTTTGTAACCCCCTGTTAAATGGCTAGGTAAGCTATAGGAACTTATTTTAATTTCTCTTCAATTTGTCTGAAATTCTTGAAACTTTCTTGATTTAGAATTGAAGCTATGGAAAGTAGAAATTAAGTTTGAATTTTTCGTGATAAGAAACTTGAAAACTTTTAAATTATAAATCGTATTTCTCAGTGAAAATGATTTGCTTCTTAAAAACCACAATTATACCTTCCTCTCTCAAATAAATGATCTCTGAATGACTCTATTTACTCTGTCCTTAAGTTGAAAGTTCTTTTAGTATCAGTATAAACTGGCAATCTCAA